CCAGGGTTGGGCACCTCTTCAGTATAATTTTTTTCAGTTGCCCCTCTGTCCTTTGGCAGAGAAGCCCCTGAGCGCACTCTGTCCAAGGACAGAGACGCAAATGAGAGATATGTCGACGTGAAATTACTCAAAAAGTAATTTACACACTGCCTCAGAGTATATTTACTGTCATGTCTACATTTCGACATTACCTCAAACTCTTACACACACACACACACACACATATATATATATATATATATATATATATGTGTGTGTGTGTGTGTGTGTATGTATGTTTATATATAATCGCACTGCAAATAATGGTGGTAGAAAAAACAGTGCTCTCTGTAAAATAAAGATAAAATTTGTACTAATAAATATTCATTTTATCCCTCACTGTTTGGTTCAACTCGGAGTTTCATTCACATATCAATCGTCAGACCCGGATTGAAAATACATACGTGGGTATGCGTAAAATCATTAACTCGGTCGTTAGTACCAGAAAAGAGAGAGAAATAATGTACATATCCTGAGTAGACGCAACGTCGATGGTGAATTATATATCTAATTTTATTAAAATGTACTTCATTTTAAAAATTTTAAAAAAGAAATGATCCTTTTCGACTAAAAATAAAAAAAGTTTATAAAAAGTGAACAAAATTTGTTCAACTCTTAGAATTAACATATTTATAACGCTACGTCGTGTTACCTGTTATTATTGCCTTGATATCTGAAACATGTGCTGTTTCTATTTAGGAATATATCGGCCCCTTGCCCCAAATTTTTGCTTAGTTATTAAGATCATAAATTGTGTATGGACAACATTTCGTCGATTTTCTTCGAGTTATTAGATTATTAGTGGCGTTCGGCTGATTCTAATGCATCTTAAATTAAAGAGACGTTTGATGGAATTATGCAAATTTATATTGCATAAATATGCATTAGTTTCTCTCAAAACTTCCAACATTAACAAATATAAGTGAACGATGGAAAAAAAATATCAAAGCTTGTCTTGATATTTACACAACTTATGGTTTGTAGCGCAATCATTTATAAATTGTGAGCACTAAAGACGATCGAAATAGTTATAGCAGTAATGTTCTCAGAGTCTACCATACTTTGTTTCACGGTGTCAGTCCATTCTCAACTTCTTACTCTTTTATTTGTCGTGTCCCTGCAGAACGTTGGCGATCATGGATCTCCGCATTTTCTTGTCTTTTGTAGCTCTAAATGACTTTTATCATTTTGTTATATATTCTAAACCATGTTTCGTCATCCATTTACTCAAAATCCTTTTTGTTCCCTTTTTCTATGTGAGGTGCCTCTTCAGGACGTTGGCGATCATGGCTCTCCACAATTCCTTGTCTTTTGTAGCTCTAAATAACTTTTGTCTTTTTGTTATCTCTCCTAAGCCATATTTTGTCATTTATTTACTCAAACTTGTTCTTTTTCTTCTTCTGTGTGAGGTGCCCCTTCAGGACGTTGGCGATCATGGCTCTTCACAATTCCTTGTCATTTGTAGTACTATTGAATTTACTAAGTTAATTTTGTCCTTTTTGTTATCTGCCGTAAACTCTGTTCTGTCACCCATTTACATAAGCTCGTTATTTTTCCTCTTCTATGTCACGTGCCATTTTAGGGTATTAGCGATTATAGCTCTCCACAATTTCCTATGCTTTGTAGCTCTTAATAATTTTTTATCTTTTTGTTATATCTCCTAAACACAATTCTGTCATCAATTTATAAAAGCTCATACTTTTTTCTTCTTGTATGTATCCTGACACTTTAGGGCGTTGGTGATCATGGATCTCCGCAGTTTCCTTTCCTTTGTAGCTGTTAATAAATGACCCTTTTTTGCTAGGCAGGTTATGTGCTGTTTTCCTCTCTCCGCCATGTCTTCCGTATGTCATGTGAGCATCAAATTTTATGTGCCCTCGAAATTTCAGCCTACTGACTAGGACAATGACGGTTGCCTGAAACATTTATTGCATGTCCCTGGTTACTTTCGCAGTGTTTTTAAGCAACTGTTTTATGATGCGTGGGTAGCTTATTGCATGGCAGCTGCAAATGAGAAATCCTGGAGCGGAGTTCGAATTTCAGTCGAGTTCGTTACATTCACTTACGTGAAAATACACTTGGGGAAGTTATGAATTCATCAACGTCTCCCATGGTGTAATTAGTAGGACATCTACCTGGAAAAGTCTTTGTTATCTTTCAAATCTCCCTTCAATAATTGCGGTTCATGGTGACGTTCAAAGTAAATTAGTGCAATGGTTTCTTCTGCAGCGGCGATATTGAGATTAACCCATCCCTTCTCCTAGAAGTTCTTCCGTCCATTCGTAAAGCCTTCTGAGGCGCATCTCCTTTGCACAAACTAACGACTGGCCAATGGCCGTTTAACATAGATGGATTGGGGAGATACGTTCCCTTTTACCGGTCGGGAAAGTCTTCCGAATATTCTCACACAGATTAGCCGGTAGGTCGATGCCGTTGACCGGGGTGTGGCCTTTGCAGCGCCTATGCGAATTTTGTTGTCATGTATGAGAGTTAGATGTAGACCATGGACTAGTACAGTTCCGCATCACAGTTTGCTTGAGTAAAGCAGGGACTACCGATTCGCTAGAAAGGTACTACCACTAATGATATGTCCAATAATTCCCATCTAATAATCAAATCGCAAGAAAAAAAAAAAAAAGAATTGTCTTCAAATAAAAGAACGTCTTTGAAAAGACACAAACGGTTGGTAATCCGTAATAAATAAATAAATCAAACACATTCGCTCTTAAATGGTATTTATTTTCTCTGTTATAAATACAATTTAAGTTAGACGTATTAAAAGCTATTGTCTATTTTCTCTTGTGACCGTGTTCGATTTTTGCTTAAACTAAGAAAATTACGCCTGTAGACAAACCACGAGACTCCTACCTGTGGTTAACAAATGTTTAAAAAGATATATGCATGCCTACTTTGCTGAGGATATTCAAATTTGCTGGAACATCGATGCTAAGAGAATAGATGAGATCTAAAATAAGAATTTTGTGGACAGATGTCAAGAATTAAGCGCGGGAATAAAAAGTAACTCCGGCAAACATTTATAAACGTGTCCGGAACAATCGTTAATAGTGTTAAAAGGACGATTTTCTCATGGCATCGATTTTTTTTTAACTATCTTCACTTTTTGGCAATGTTTATTGTTTTAAAAAATTGGTAATTAGAATTAGAATAAAAACTAAAGATATTATAAAATAAATTTATACTTTTTTGGGGGTCCTTGGGAGTTTACAATAACAATATTAAACACTATTTTTTTTAGATAGCTAATTTACAAGAATAATTTTATATTTACAACATACTAATAACTAATACAATTAGAACTAATGCACTATAGTATTTACCAATTTATAAAGAAATAAATGTGTAAACAATTTTTTATTCAAGAAATTATAAACTCTTACTAAAGTAATAAATACGTGAACCAAATATATAATTCTTTTTATTTACATTTTATAAGTTTCAAATCAATTGGCAATTAAACAACATTTTATCAACCATTCCAAAAAATAAAATGATAAATAAATGGTGTTTCTTATTTTGGTTGTAAAATCTCAAGAACAAAGAAAATGTATAAATTCACTTTCAAATGTATAGGTTTTATTACTATTCTAATCACTTTTTTTCTGGCGAGAAAAATTGTCTAGTACGACATAGTAAACAAATTTACTTAGCTGTAGACTTAGAAATTGTTTCAATATACTCTTTCTGACAGCTGAAAATATTGTCGAAGCTTTCGATTTTCGTAAGTCATCACCGGGATAGGCAGAGAAAAATGGTGAACATTGTGATGTGGCCAAAATTCTGTGATGTAACAAAATGGGACGTATATGTTTTTTTTATATATTATTTTACACTTACTTTCTTTTATTTATTTATATACATTTGAGGATGCGTGCTCTTAAAATTATATATAAATAAAAAGAAAAAAAACAGACCATTTTTATTATATACTTGATTAATAGAGTTTTAGTGACGTTGATCATCAGATAGCATTTCCAACAACGAAATGAGAAATGAAATTTTGGAAGTGCTATCTGATGATCCGGCGTCCTTTAAAAGGACTCTGGTGAAATAAATTATTATAATGGCAATCTTAAAGTGGTCTGTTTTTCTTTTAAATATTAGTGCTGGATTTACATTGAGCTCTCAGGATTTCATCCTCCTTGCGATTATCCATACGGATTAACCAAGTTCTTCATAACTTAACTTTATATATATATATGTATATATAGTCTTAAGGTGTGCTATATTTATGGGATAAAGTGCTCAATATCAGAGATAGAGCGTGTGTAAATATAAAAGTGAACATAGAAGTCAATACTTCGAGGCGACAGTCTGTTTCATGATATATGCAATCGTCAGGCCACCATTTTATATATATATATATATATATATATATATATATATATATATAATTTATGCATGGACGTTTTTGTTGTACGTGTATTGCTTCAAGAATCATGAAGTGAGAAAGAGAGAGGCCGATTTTCTCATTTTATTATCTTAATATTTTTGCGAATATATCATCAAGAGTATACTGAATTACACCAGCCATTTTTTATTCAATTATCAACAGTGAATCATGGTCAGATTTTTCTTCCAGCGTTGTTAACGCTTTTTAATCGAGAGATATGTTTAACCAGTCAACATCTACATATTTTCTATAAGAAAACTTTGTTCTGTTTTTAATATTACATTTTCTTTCTCTTTTGACTGCAATGTTTTTAAGTCCCTAATGTCTGCATCATTCGGTGTACTGCCTGTTTGAAGTCTTTATAGACAGACGACTTTTTTTTTTTTTTTAGCAAAACTATTCGACATCAGTCAATGAAGGCTCAATTATAACTCGATATGTTTGATTCTTGAATGCGATGCACAATCGCCTAATTCTGGTTTATAAAGGAAAGTCTGAATTAAAAAAGAAAAAAAAAAATGGCAAAATACTGTAAAAAAAGTACGGTACATCAAAAAAGGAAATTATGGAGAGAAAAATAAAAGAGGAAAGTGAGAATGTAGACAATAAATTCGGAAAAACAGGAAGAGAATAAGAGGAAAAAAAAAAGAATATGAAAAGAAGGTAAGTATAAAAATAATCGAAAGAAGAGGGGCGGAGTGAAAAATAAGAAAAGAAAACAGAATGACAAAAAGGAGGAATGGAGGAATGGAGGAAGAACTAAACAAGAAATGAATGACTTAATTGAAAAAAAAAAGAAATGAAAGAAATGTTGGGAAGAAGAACAAAAAAGATTTGACTGAAAGAAGGAAAGAACGATTGAAGGGAAGAAAGGAAAGAAACAAACAAAGAGAAGGGACGAAAAAGAAACATAAAAGAATAAAGAGAAAAGTAAGAAGAAGGAAAGTAAGTGGGAAGAATAAAGAGGAATGTGAAACTAGGTAAAAAAAACGTAAATAAAAATAGGAAATTTCAAAAAAGGAACAGAAATGATGAAGAAAAAAAGAGTGTAGAAAAGATAGTGAAGAGAAAAACTATCGTAGGAAGAGAAAGAGAAAATGAAGAAAGCAATAAATAAAAGGAAAAAGAGGGAAGGGAAAAGTGACGAGGAGAAAAAAAAAGGGATGGCATGTGTTATCTACCGTACCCATGAACACTAATGGGTATGTCCTAATCCTCATAAATACGTTGAACACTACTATAAATAGGGGCTAATATACTGTCTACCTAGTGGTTTACCTATTTGACGCCGCTGGCGAGTATTGTATTTTGTTGATGCTATAAAGATTACCATTTCATTTCCAATCTTCATTTTGGTTATTCCTCATTCAGTAACCTTTTCTAGGTTACAACAGTAGTTTACTTTTGCTCTGTCTCTTCAGGATGTGGACTATCATAGCTCTCCACAACTTCCTATCTTTTGTAGCTCTAAACAATGTTTGTTTCCATACTGTCCTTCTCACCCCCTGTTCTGCCAAACATTTACGCAGGTCATTAGGTAGGTGTTATATAGCGTACCTATGAATACTAATGAATATGTCCTAATCCTCATAAATTCGTTGGACACTAGTGTAAGTGGAGGTATTATCCTGTCTAAGTAGTCCACCACTAGCAGTGGTTTACCTATTTCACGCCGCTGGTGAGTATTTTATATTGTTGATGTTATAAAGATTACCATTTCATTTCCAACCTCCGTTTTGGTTTTTCCTCATTCAGTAACCCTTTCTAGGTTAGAACAAAAATTAAACGCATCTCTTCTCTTTTCGTGTTGAAGATGAAGGTATAAATTGTTTTAAGTCAAATTCTGAAAAAAATTGATGTAAAATTAACAAATAGGAAACTTTAATCATTAGGAATGAATCAATATTATGATAGTAAATCGATTGACAGTTGAACTGGAGGAATTGAAAATCATAATGTTATATACCGTATCTATGAATACTAATGGCGAGGAGAAAAAAAAAGGATGGCATGTGTTATCTACCGTACCTATGAAAACTAATGGGTATGTCCCAATCCTCATAATTACGCTGGTAACTATTTAAGTAGGGGAAAATATACTGTCTAAGTAGTCCACTACTAGCAGTGGTTTACCTTCTTTAAGCCGCTGGCGAGTATTATATTTTGTTGATGTTACAAAAATTACCATTTCATTTCCAATCTCCGTTTTGGTTATTCCTCATTCAGTAACTTTTCCTAGGTTACAGCAGCATGAAAGAAGACAGAGAAATTAGGATAGAATAAACAAAAAGTTACTTCATAGAAGAAAGAGAAACATGACGAGAAGTGAGAAGATCTTAGAACGAGTGGGAGAAGAGAAAAAATAAGTGAAGAAAGAAAGAGTTACATTAAAAGTGAAAGAAAAAGGTTAGGGGAGAAAGAAAATAGTACAATAATAATGAGAGAGGAAGAAGAGAAATGAAAAGTAGACACAGAAAGTTTATTATAAAAAGAGGGAGAGAGAAAAGGTGAGAGAAGACAGAAAATATTAAAGAGAGGGAAGAAGAGTAATGGAGAAAGAAAGTATCATTAAAAGAGAAAGAGAAAAGGTAAGAGAAGTTATATGGTCCGGTTCCTTGTACCACGGTGATAGTTCAACGTAGAACCAATAAAGAAGAACTCGAACACGGATATGGAATAACACAGATATATTACAAACAGGAATATATACAGAGAAGTAGAAAGTGTTAGTACGAACAATCAGGTTTAGTAGTAATTGTCTGAACGCGACTCTGTTTCGGACAGCCTCTGACTCGACTGACTGACTCGCTCGCTCTGACTGACTGACAGACTGACTTCTGACGGACCTCACTCCAGACTTCAGACTGAAGAGTATTTAGTCACCCCTCCACGAGGGCATCATGTGGCACAAGGCCGGTTTACAGGGATCTCCGAGCCTGTGGGCTCGGCTGTAATATGCCCCCTTTGAACCCGTATAACGGGTTCTGGGTCGGTTTACCCCCTGAAAGAGACTCCGCCCTTCGGCGTAGCCTGTTCGATTCCTCCCCGCCCGGAAGGCAGAGTCCAGTGATCAGCTGGTCGGCCGGTCGCCCGACTTCGGACTGAACGGTATTTAGTCACCACCCCCGAGGGCATGGCGTGGGCACAAGGCCGGTTTAACGTGGGATCTCCGAGCCTGTGGGCTCGGCCAAAATATATGCTTTTGAACCCGTATAAACGGGTTCAGGGTCGGTTTACCTCCCCGAAAGAGACTCCGCCCTTCGGCGTAGCCTCGTTCGGGTTCAACCCCGCCCGAAAGCAGAGAGTCCAACCGATCAGCCGGACGCCCGACTTCGGACTGAACTCACTGCTTCCTCTTGAGGTGCAGTATTTATTACGTGTGGAATAGTCCATTATGTTATTATGGGTAAGGTTCCATAACAGAAAGAAAGACTATTATTAAAAGAGAAAGAGAAAAGTTAATAGTAGTAGTAGTAGTAGTAGGAGGAGGAGGAGGAGGAGGAGGAGGAGGAGGAGGAGGAAAAGAATGACAGGTTAGTGAAAAATAGAAACCGGAAGTTGAAAAGGAAATAAAGAATTTGTAAATAGAAAAGAAAGAACGCAGACAATGAAAAGATTGAAAAGTGAAAGAAAGCGGAAAACGAAAATTGATTGAAAAGTAAAAGAAAAATGATTGAAAAGAAAAAAAAGGGTGAAAAAGAAAAAAAATGAGAAGGAAAAAGAAAAAAAGAAAAGAAAAAGAAAAAGAAAAAGAAAAGAAATAAGAAAAGAAAAAAAGAAAAGAAAAAGAAAAAAAGATTGAAAAAGAATAAGTGAAAGAAAGAAAAAAAATGATTGAACAGTGAAAGAAAGCTGAAAACAAAAAATATTCCGAAGTAAATATATAAAATAAATGAATAAGGGAGATGTAGGAAGTGAATAAGGTCTAAAATAGTAAGAGAGAGGAAGAAGATAATGGAAGAGTATCATTAAAAGAGAAAGAAAATGGTGCAGAGAAGACAGAAAATAAAAATGGGACGGGAAGAATTAAAGATAGAAAGAGTATGCTTAACAGAAAAATGAAGAGAAAAGAGAAAATAGTAAAGGGAGTGGGCGAAGAGAAAAGTGAGAAAAAGTGAAACGAAGATTATCATCGAAAGAAAGGAAAAGTAAAGAGAGAAAGTGAAGAGTGAAAAGAAAAGTGTAAAAGGATTGGAAGTCAAATTGGAAGATTAGAATAAATGATTAAAAATGAATTAAAAAAAAAATGCAAATGACGAGAAAGAAGAAAAGTGTTAATTGACCGTGGAATGAAAAAAGAGAAAAAAGGATGCTAAATTGAAGAATGAAAAATACTATATTGAAAGACGATTGAGAATCACCGCGACGGGAAGAAAGGGAAAATGAAACTATAAAATAGAAATATGAAGTAAAATATGAAAAGAGAGAAAGAAAAGGAAGATTTTAAATACGAAAAACGAAAGTGAGAGAAGAAGAAAAAAAAAAAACAAAGATGAAGTAAAGGTTGAGAAGAATAAATTTATGAAAGCAAAGTGAATGTGAATGAAAGAAAACAAATAACAAATTGAATGAAAAAAAGAGAAAAAAAAGGAGACGCAAACAACGAAGTGGGTGAAGAAAGTAAAAAGCAAAAATAGATTTAAAAGAATGAAGAAAAGAGAAAAATAAAGTGAATGACGAAGAAGAAAAAGAGAAAAAGAAAAGAATCAAAAAATATCTAAGAAAGAGAAAGGAGAATAAGAAAAGATTACAGGGCATAAAGAAAGAGAAATGGCTCAGAAAGAATTAAGAAAGAGAAAAGAGAAAAATAACATGAATTTAGAATGATAATAAAAGATATTCACGAAAGAAAGAAAGAAAAAAAGAAGAAGGTGAATGAAGGATGATAAAAGAGAAGAAGAAATTATAAAGAGAATGAAGAAATGTAAATGAGAAAAAAAGAATGAAGTGGATAAAGAAAGAGAAAAAGAAATGAATAAATTGAACAAAGAAAGAGAAAAGCGGTTTTTAAAAAAATGAACAAACAAGAGAATTAAAGAAAATGATATAAGGAAAGAGAAAAAAATATAAAAGAATGATGAAATAAAAAAAACGAAAGAAAAAAAAAATGAACGAAGGAGGAAAACATAAAATGAAAGATAAAATAAAAGAACATAAATGAAAAAGGGGAAATACGTAGAAGAAAAAAAATAAAGTGAATGAAAAAAGAGGAAAAAGAAGCAGAAAATAATAAAGTGAATGAAGAGAAAAATGAACTAATGGAAGAAGCAGACGACGAAAAAGTCTAGAATAAGAGAAGATAATGAATTAAAGGAAGAATGCTAAAAGAGAAAAAGTAAAGGATAAATGAAAAAGAAAAGAGAAAAGGAGAAAGAAAGAGTATCAGTAAACAAGAAAGAGAAAAGGTGAGAGAAGATAGAAAATAGTAAAGAGAGAGAGAGGGAAAAAGAAGAAGAAAAGAGAAATAGATAAAGAAAGTGCCTCATAAAAAGAGAAAGAGTAAAGTTGAAAGAAGATATAAAATAGTAAAGAGAGAGGAGGAAGAGAAATGGAAAACGGGGAAAGAAAGAGTATCCTTAAAAAAGAAAGAGAAAAGGTTAGTGAACATATTAAATAGTAAAGAGAGAGGAAGAAGAGGAAAGAAGAGCAAATCAAGAAAAAAGAAAAAGAGAAAATCTTTTCTTTCTATCTTTTCATATTTTGCTTCATATGTATAGAATATATGAGAAAAGAGAAAAAAAAATAAAGTAAATGAAAAACTAGAACGGTAAGAAAGAAAAAAAAACAATTAAAAATGTAAATGTCTTAAAAGAGAAAAAGAAAAGAGTTATGTGTATGAAAGTAATGAAAGAGAAACGAATGGGAATATTGGAACGTGAAAGAGAAAAAAGAAAATAGTCAGAACAGAGGCGTATGAATGAAGAAAGAGCAATATGTAGAGAAAGAAAAGAAGAAAATGAAGAAGAGATAGAAAGAAAGGCATGGGTTAATCAATCGAGCAAAGAAAAAAGGTGACCTGAAGAAAGGAAATAGAAATACCAAATGAGAAATACAACCAGAAAGAAAAGAAAGAAAATACAAAAAGGAAAAAAAAAAGAAACAGAAAGTGTTATATGCCATATGTATGGAGACTAATGGGTACGTCCCACACCTTATAAATACGCTGGACACTATTGTAAGTTGGGGGTAATATGCTAAAGAGTCCACAACTAGCAGTGGTTTACCTACTTCACGCCGCTGGTGAGTATTATATTTTCTTGATGTTATGAAGCTTACCATTTCCATTTCCAACTTCCGTTTTGGTTACTCCTCATACGGTAACCCTCTCTAGGTGACAACAGATAGATAGATAGATAGATAGATAGATAGATAGATAGATAGATAGATAGATAGATAGATAGATAAGAACCAAATAGATAATGTTATATATCGTACCTATGAACACTAATGGGAATGTCCCACTCTTTATAAATACGTTGGACACTATTGTAACTGGAGATAATATGCCAAGGAGTCCACAAATAGCAGTGGTTTACCTACTTCACGCCGCTGGTGAGTATTGTATTTTGTTGATGTTATAAAGATTAGTATTTCCATATGCAACCTCCGTTTTGGTTATTCCTCATTCAGTAACCCTCTCTAGATTACAACAGACAGACAGATAGATAGATAGATAGATAGATAGATAGATAGATAGATAGATTGGAAACAGATAGATAATGTTATATACTGTACCTATAAACACTAATGGGTATGACTCACTCCTTATAAATACGTTAGAAACTATTGTAAGTTGGGGTAATATGCCAAGGAGTCCACAAATAGCAGTGGTTTACCTACTTGACGCCGCTGGCGAGTATTGTATTTTGTTGATGTTATAAAGATTACCATTTCCATTTCCATCCTCTGTTTTGTTATTCCGCATTCAGTAACCCTTCCTCTGTTACAACAGAAGAATGAGAAAGGTGAAAGAGAAGTGTAGAAGAGTGGAATAAAAGGAGGAAAATGGTGAAAAGAAAAGCAAATGAAAGATAAAAGAAAACTAATATCAGAAGAAGGAAAAAAATGAAACGAAGAAGAAAAAATGAAAACAGTACAATGAAATTGATGAAGTAATAGATAGAAAGAGATAAGATAAAGTGAAAGGAAAGAAGAGGGGAAAAGGAAAAAAAATAGATAGAATAAAAGCAAGGAAAAGAAAACAAAGAGTGATGCAGATAAAAAGAAGAATTTAAAATGTCATAAGGCGAAATAAAAAGAATGAAAGAGGAAAGAAAAGAGAGAGAAAAAGAAAGGGGCGTCATAAAAGAATAAATAAAATATAAAGGAAAGAAAAAATAAAAGCGTGCTGATGTAGAATCCAAATTGTTTATTGAAAGAAGGATGAGAAAGAGGAAGAGAAGAATGAAAAGGGGAAAGACTAAGTAAAAATGAAAGAGGGGAATGGAAGAAAGAAACGGAATGAAAAAGAGAAGCGAAAAACGAAAGAAAATGTTGGCTAAAAAGAAAGAAAAATGAAAGAAGTAAGATAAAGGAGAAGCGGGTAAATAAAAGAGGACAAGGAAAGAAAAAAGAGAAATGTGAAAAGAAGAAAGAAAAGGAAGAAATAAAAAAGAAGGAAAGAAAGAAAATGACTGTCAAATGACAAGAGGAGAACGAAAAAGAGAAAAAAGAATAAGGTGGAAAAAGACGGAGAAGATGGAATAATAATAATAATAATAATAATAATAATAATAATAATAATAATAACAGTAGTAGTAGTAGTAGTAGAAGAGGAGGAGGAGGAGGAGGAGGAAAAGAATGACAGGTTAGTGAAAAATAGAAACCGGAAGTTGAAAAGGAAATAAAGAATTTGTAAATAGAAAAGAAAGAACGCAGACAATGAAAAGATTGAAAAGTGAAAGAAAGCGGAAAACGAAAATTGACTGAAAAGTAAAAGAAAAAATGATTGAAAAGAAAAAAAAAAAAGTGAAAAAGAAAAAAAATGAGAAGGAAAAAGAAAAAAAGAAAAGAAAAAGAAAAAGAAAAGAAATAAGAAAAGAAAAAAGAAAAGAAAAAGAAAAAAAGATTGAAAAAGAATAAGTGAAAGAAAGAAAAAAAAAATGATTGAAAAGTGAAAGAAAGCTGAAAACAAAAAATATCCCGAAGTAAATATATAAAATAAACGAATAAGGGAGATATAGGAAGTGAATAAGGTCTAATTTGAAAGAAAAAAGAAAACGGAAAAAAAAGCAAAGAAAACAGCAAAATGAAAGAAGAAATTTAAAAAAATGAAGAAAAAAAAACAATGAAGGAAACGAAAGAAAAAAGGAAGAGGGATGTCAACATAAGAAAGAAAAGAAGAAAAACATGAAGAGAAGAAAACTATGAAAGAAAGATGGCGAAGAAAATGATAAAGGGTAAGAAAGGTCCGAAGACATTAAAAGAAATTAAAAAGAAAAGAGGAAGAATTTAAAGAAGAAAAGAAAACAGAAAGAAAACTTACGAGTGACAAAGTAGGATAAATCGAAGACAGACGAAGAGAGAAAGAAAAATAAAATATCAGAATAGACGTCCGAATGAAGGAGGAGGAAGTGAAGAAGTAAAAGAGAATGTTAACCAAACCAAAATGTCAGAAACGTAAACAAAAATTCTGTAAAATAAAAAAAAGAAATCCTAGAAAGAAGGATTCAACAAAGGAAGCATAAAAATGATAAAAAAAGCAAAATAAATCGAAGAAATAAAGGAAGCATGAAATACAATGCCGAACTAATTGCCTCTTGTTATTTATCTCAGTACGGCTTCAGCGTCTCTCATCTAAGAGTTAATTTCTTTTGTACTGTTGAACGCTATAAGTTTTCTTTTTATTCATCCTCATCAGACAATGTGCATGCAACAAAAAACAAAACAAACACAAACGCCCTTGTATTTCCTATACACGGTTTACTCGTTATAGATCCATTGCTTTTACGTCAGAGGAAAAACTAATAAAAATACATAAAGACGTACTTACTAGTTAGATATGGTCCAATCATCGATCACTTTTAGAATCGAAAAGAGACTTATTAAAATAAGTGCAAGATACTACTACACAAGAAATGTAAAAAAGAATAAGACTTGACTTTTAAAACCAAGATTTTAAGATAAAAAATTATGGTGGCTTGACCCGTAAATGTAATCAAAATCTATCTGTACTTAAAAAATAAATATAATGTAATCTTTGATGACATCACATTTGACCAATCAGATAAACTGGTAGTGTAACGCTTCTTCTTCTTCTTCTTCTTCTTCTTCTTCTTCTTTTTCTTCTTCTTCTTCTTATTCTTATTCTGTGTCGTGGCTCTTCAGGGTCTTTGTAATCATGGCCACAACAATTTCGCTGCCCTTTGTAGCTGTTAATGAATTTTGTCTATATTTTATCTCTCCTAAACTCTGTTCTGCTATACATTTACTCAAGACTGCTAGGTAGGTTATGTGTAGTTTTCCTCTATATCTACTTGCCTTCAAACTGTCCCGTTAGTATTAAATTTTCCATGCCTTCTTTTCCCATCGTCTGCACTAGAGAATTGAACTGTCTCTGTCTGATGTTAAGCATGTGTCCATTTTGTTTTCATTGTGGAACCGGCTCCAAAGGGAATGCTTCTCTGATCGCTACAAACCAACCTTTATTTTCACCTTTATATTCGCATAAGCTATACCTCTTACTCTGTAACACTCTACCACGATAGGTTCTCAGAACTTGTACCGGAAGAACATCAGTATATAAAAAAAAAAATCGTCGTTTCTCACAAGTTCGGGGTGTTAGATATTGGTTGAGCAAGACCTTTGACCTCACTTCTGCTGCATCAGAGAGTGAGCGAAAATCGGAATCGGTGATAGCATAAATAGGAAATGGCTAAAATAAACAGGGCGCACTGACGTCCTGAGATATGAATAAACAGGGTGCAAAGGAGTGTTCGTCGCGTTATTTGAGCTCAGCAGCAATATAATATAATTTAACCTAATACAGTGAGGCGATTCTTGATCTGGAAATAGTTCGCCAAACAGTTTACGAACACACTACTTGTCGACATCTCTGTCTCCGGACAGAGAGGAACACAGGCGAGGCTATGACGAAGGGCAGAGTCTCGTCTGTGGAGGCAGAAAACCGGACACCATTATTTCGGGGTCTACGGGGAAGTTTTTCCCTAACTACGAGCTCGGAACGCCCCACTTTAAAGAACATTTCTGTTGCCTCAAATCCCTTCTTCATTTGTGAACAGATTGTCCAGCATTTATAGCTATATAGGAGGGTTGATGCTATAGAACAGTTCCATACCATTTTCTTTGTTTCTAACGAAATTTTCCTATTTTTTTAATACTTTTCTGCCTTCGGCTTTCACTGTCACACTTTCCGTCTTAATACTTTGTTTAGCTTTTGGAAGTCATCTTTCGCTATTTCAATGCGGCTTCGGATTTCAGTGTCACACTTTCCATCCTCTGCAAAAACACTTTCCAGATATTTTACTGTTTCTTAATACTTAGCTTAGCTTTTGGAAGTCATCTTTCGTTATCGCAATGCCCCTTCGAATTTCAGTGTCACACTTTCCGTCCGCTTCTAAAACACTTTCCAGATATTTTACTGTTTCTTAATACTTAGCTTAGCTTTTGGAAGTCATCTTTCGTTATCGCAATGCCCCTTCGAATTTCAGTGTCACACTTTCCGTCCGCTTCTAAAACACTTTCCAGATATTTTACTGTTTCTTAATACTTTGCTTAGCTTTTGGAAGACCACTTTCGCTATCCCAATGCGCCTTCGGATTCCAATGTCACACTTTCCGTCCTCTGTTAAAACACTTCCCAAATATTTAAATTGTTGTACTTACGTGCTTTTTCTATCCCCAATTCGCAATTTTTATTATTGGGCTGACCCTTTTGCTAACAGCCATACATTCAAACTTCTTGCAATAGATGTCTAGTTCTTTCTCCATGCATTACTTTTTCCTTTACCTCGTAATCACTTTTTGATCCATTTACACAAGCTTGTTAGGGAGGTTTCTCACTGTTCCCCTCTCTCCTACTTGCCTTCAATGTCCCGTATACAGCTAAGCTATTCAATGTTGCATCTCTTTAGGATGTTAGCAGCCATGACTCTCCACAGCTTCCATTCTTAAAAAAATGAGTGTTTTGTCGTTGCATTCCCAAAGATATACAACCCGGTCTACCCTGCTTTTTAATCCATACATTGAGGTGCTGATAAGAGATAGTCAAGTGATGTCATGTCCTTTCCAAGTAGGGAGGCCACAAATGGAGTATTGCTGCCATATTAGGCTGGTGCTGCCAATACTCTCTTACCTACCGCCACAGAGTACAAAAGCATTTGTGCGTCCTTGTGGGTGATGAATCGTTTTCCGCTCTAAAACCAGTTCCCAACCTGGCCTAGCGCTAATTTCATAACAGTTGTTCGAACGAGCTACAGTCCACCTGTCAAATCTAGGGTCCACCAGGCCATGTACACTGCTTATTGTCTTCATATTGCACTGGTGAGGAAGAAGATCCACTCAGATATAAAAAATAAAAATCCACTCAGACTCAAAAAAAAAAAAATAAAAAAATAAATCTCCATAGACATGCAAACTAGACGAGGGTTAATACATCTTCCGTTTCAAATTTAGACACCCCACCTTTCCCTGATTTGACATCTATGAAAGTAACTCTATACTGATACTTATTATTAATACCAACACTGCCTACCCAATTTAAACAATTCGCCCTAGTTGTTACCATGGAAATTTTGATTTCAATTTTTAAAACACGTAAATTTCAGAAATACGTTATTCCAAAAAAAAAATTTCGCTTGAAGATGGAATAGAGCTTATTTTAACTCAATTTAATTTACATAATTATATTGAAGTTTTCGGCTTTTGTTTTGAATCATGGGACTTCTTATGTCGCGATTTGGAATCATATTTTTAAATAAATAATTATATTTATGCTCTACTTTTGTATCGAGCACTATTTTAAAAAAATAATATCTAAAATACTAAGGGACTTTGGAATATTTACCTAACCAGTTCCTTCCTATTTTCTATAAATTTTCACACACACACACACACACACACACACACACACACACACACACACACACACATATATATATATATATAAAGCAGGTTCAAGTGAAAATGCTTCCCCTTTCCGCGTTGATAACCATGACACTACCCACGAATTCTTCTTCTAGATTAGCACAGTTAAATCGATATGAATAAAGCGCAGTGTACGTGTGTCCGTCCGTCCGTCCGTCTGTTTTTCGATTTCGGCGAATCATAAACAACCTGAGTAATATGTAGCAACAACCCTCCTTACAAGCGATTGACATTTAAATAAATAATACATTTAAAGTTAAATTTAAATATCGAATCGAATGAAAGGTTTAAAAATCAATTGTTTATTAAAGGGTTAACTTTAATTTCGCTTTTCCTCGCAATTGCAATTACCGCAATTAAAACTTAAGCGGGTCACATTACGTTGCTCATAGGATTTTTTCTAGCTCTCGCGCGGTGATGTTTTTGGATATTACATAGGCCTGGTTACCTAAATGTCTTTGAAGACTGCTTTTATGTGTAGCGACCAAAAAGGATGATGATTTCAAAAGAAAATAAACATTGCGCTCAAAACAATTTTACATATACTACGGAGATGGGTTGCGTATACGAAGAAAGATTATGCCGAATTAAGATGTCGAATAAAGATAAAGTAATTTTATTATTTATAAATTCTTATAACTTTTACGTACATAGGACGATAAAGGTAAAGCCCGGAGGCCCAAATGCCCGGAGGCCCAAACGCCCGGAGGCCCAAAAGCCCGGAGGCCCAAACCCCCCCGCAGGAGCAAGACTAAAGTCGGCCCGAAGGACGGCTTCTCGTCTAGTGGAAAATAATGTTTGATTTAATAGACTGGAATAAATGTAAACGAAAGAGAGACGGAAAAAGGAGGGGCTATCGGTAAGACAATTTAGGATATATGTCTATATTTCTGAGATGAGGTATTATAACTATTTTATATTGGCCTCGTCTTTATAGTAAAATTCACAACGCTTCTTCCGTTGTTTGACCCGACATTCTACAGGTGATATACTTTGAAATTTTAAACCTAACCCTTCATTTAGTCCACCAAAGGCACATGACCCATTGGATAAAAACGTTAGTTGTTCCAAAAGTGACATGACCCAAGAGATCAATCCCTGTAAATAATGTAAACAATTTGGGACACACACACACACACACACACACACACACACACACACAAAAGGATTCAATCCCTGGCTACAAACGAAAACAAAACTATTAGAATTGAATTATCAAGTGGAATTAACTGAAAGATATCCGCAGGTATGGCTCGTGGAATTAGAACTATCTACGCACGTGGATATTTAGTTTCGAAATTCCAATCATCTGAGCTTACCAAACAACGACCGAAGCGTCGTGACTATGGATCTAAAGTCCGAAGAATGTAAATAGGTAAATAAATAAGGATGTACACGAAAAATAAATTCAATTCCTAATCACAGCAGTGAAAACAAAAACTTGGAGAGCTGGGTTACCAAGACGAATCAACTGAAATTGAGTTATCTAAAAAAAAAGAGGCATGGCACCTGGAACTAGAACAACATATCTCCGTGGACTAAATAAAGAGTTCGTTTCGAAATTTCAACGTATGCCATCTGAAGTAGGTCGAAGGTCATGAATGTGACAATGATGATGAGGACAGCAGTGTAAATAATTTAACATATACAAAAAAAAAAACCGTTTTTTTTTTGTTTCGATTCAATGAACAGCATGTGTGATTTAAGAGAATAAAGATCTTAAAATAAACTAGAGAATTATATACATTTATTATATGATTTGGTTTATTAATCCTAAACGCTCAGCTTTTTTCTCGATTTTTATCCAATCCTGTTACAATATCGACATTAATCTTCTTCTACATAAATACATAAAAATATGATATCTGTAAGTTACTATTCCGTCCGTGGAGTGAATACCCGGTTACCCG